GTCCAACCATTGTAATCCGAAACCCGTTCGAACTGGGCCAGCCAGTCTTCGACATCCTCCAAGACGGAACCGTGGAACACCTTCGGCACACGTGGCTTCCACAGCGTATGATGCGTGGTCGCACCGCCTTCCTGTGCGTTGGAGGCTGCAGCGCCTTCCATAGCGTTCGGGGGTGTGACAGACGTCATCTCAGGAAGAGGTCCACGCTCAGGAGGTAGTCCTCGGAGTCTTCGGCTTAAGCGGTGGACAGGTGTTGTCACTGCAGGTACAGGGATACCTGGAGGCGTTTGGAACATCGGCTGGGGGTTACCCAGCAGCTCCACCAGTTGTCACGTGCTACAAAAGGTCTTCAACTAGGAAGAACTGAGCCGGCAGGGAGACGCACCGAAAACTGGCAGGATGGCTGCTTCAATAATAAACAACTGGCCAGAGCACGCGCTGCCCCAGAACATCGTCTTCCATTCTCACGGGCAGCCATCGCTTGCGCTCGCCGTAACTAGCGGCCAAGTGGCAATATATGTTGTTCCGAGAAATCATACAAAATGGGCAAAAAACTACGTCCATTTACGAGCTGTCTTAGAAAAGTAATGAGACTGGCAACACAGTGGGCGATCTGGCAACGTTGTGTCTAACGGCTTGTGCTAGACCACGGAGGAAGGAAAGGTAATGAGAGGCCCTGACGTAACTCGTTGGGAAGCCGCGATGAAGCTGGAAGTCGGCCATATTGACTGGGCAAATTCTCCTCTCTTGTTTACATATGAATGCGAAGCAGAAGGCGCGACTCCCTCTCTGTCTCAAAAAGCCCGTGGCCTGCGCCCCGCGTGCGCCGGTACTATCCGAAACCAACGGAACGGATTTCAACACGCTGTCTTGCCGCGATACGGTTGACGAAATCTCTGCGTATGACTGTTGTACTCTTGCACTGCCGGCGTTTACAATAAACACGGCAAGTGGCACGTTAAGTTTTTTTTTATTTGATGTGTTGTTTGTTAAAATAAAGATATTTCGGACATTGCCGCGCGACGAACCAGGCACTGAAATTTGTACAGCTTCTTTCAGATCACTTTTTCCCCCTTTTGCGCTTCTCTTAAGGCTTTATGAAATTTTCGGTCAGACTGTGGGCTAGACACAACGATAAAAAAATAAAAAAAAATGTCTTCCCTGCAATAAACCCGGAGGTCTGTAATTATGCCAGTAAAGTCGGCGTCGGTGGAGCTTGTGTGTGCGGCAGCCCGTTGAGTTTGCACCAGCCTCTTTGTTTTCGCCCCTCTTTTGTCCAACGCGCACTGGTTCCTACGGATATCCCAAAGGCCATGATTTCATTAGGACGAAAGCAGCGAAGACCACCCGAAAGTGCGTGGGAACACGTCTCCAGTGTGATTCACGCGCACTAGTAGCTACGGAGAACGAAGACCAGAATTGCGTTAGGGCGAAAGGTGGGAAAGTTAGCCGAAGAAATGCGTGAGAAAAGGTCAACATCACTTGGTCAACATCGTTCGAACGGCTTTGTCAGCTTCTGAATGCACAAGCACGCGCATCTAGAGAGGTGCACCTAGTTACCTTGTGCAGGTGCGTGTAGACATTTTAACGAGTTTTGCTACAATACAGACAATATTGCAGAGAGCGAGACAATATAGCGAAGAGGGAGAATCTTAAGCGAAGAAGAACAGGAACTTTAATGCGCAGAAGCATGCGGTAACTGTACTGGAACATGAAAAGCAAGATTAGATTACAGTCTTAATAAAGGCCTGTGGACCGCAAATGCATCGTTTGTTGTCCTAAGAAGCAACACCGCATAACTGTCACTAACCTGCAAGGCATTCATTGAACGAATTCTTGAGCACAGTCGTTATCTGCTATGATGGATTTTCAGCATAATTTTGACCGACGCTGCAAATACGCGCGCTCGTTCCGTGGTTTCTAGTTCAGACACCTGGTTACAACCACCACCAGAGGAAAATCGCGTTGCTAACAATGCGGCACAAAGAATGGATGCTGTCGAACACCTGCAGTACACCACGGTTAGGTGCGAGGCCCATGAAAACGCGCACACCACCGCTGGACCGCCTGAATGGTGCCGCACCGCACTACATCAATAATAACAAAACGCCGCCATTGTGCCCAGTGAATATGGCCGCGCGTGACGTAATTACCGCCACATTTTTCGTAAAATCTTTGTAATTTCAGTATTATTCTGTTACACCGTCACAAACTTTTCAGAAAGACGGGCAATGAAATTGGTCTCTCCAGGCTGATTATGTTCAATCTTTTTTGCCTCCTAAAATAGACACCAAGCCCCACCGCAATGGTCTAGTGGCTTTACCCGGCTGCTGACCCTCAGGTCGCGGGAACGAATCTCGGCTGCGGCGGCTGCATTTTCGATGGAGGCGAAAATCCATTGAAAATGCTGTAGGCCGGTGTGCTCAGATCATGTGGTGGTTTTGGACCATTAAACTTCCACATAGCAATCAAATCAATCATTAAATTAGACACCAAGAAAACTAAGTTCTTTTTTGGGATACTGTGTAGTATGTGCATAAAATATAAAATACCCAATTAAAATATCCATTTAAAGATCCGTGTCGATCTCACATGGAGTCACCCGTTTGCGATAACCACAGTTGGGAAACTAGATGCTGTTATTAATGAAGACTGACAGACAATTATGCTAAGGAAAATATAGGGGCAGTTATTAGAAGTAATTGTAATGTAATCGTGCAGAAAGAAAAGTGGATGAAAAGATACTTGTCGTGGGCAAGGACCGAGCCTGCGACCTTCGGATACACGTGCGATGGTCTACCAACTGAGCTACTATGGCGGCTACACCCCCCTCCACATTATAGGGTATGTATGTGCTTTTAAACGTGGGAGCGCCAGTCAGCACCACCTGTTGCCATTGCGGCGAGTGTTGGACATGTGCACTCATTTTTTGCCTGTTGGCGTCACCTCGCACGTGATCTTATTACAAGCTGGCAGCTGACCGATAATCCCTCGCAAACCACTTGAAGGCGTTAGGTCAACAAGGCCCTCACTAGAATGAAAGAAGGTCAATTGTAAGGGCACATTTTCTTTGTTAGACACAATATTAACAAAGGAGCCCTTAAGTTTACTCTTCATAACTGCTGTTATGTATGCCGTGTAGCTATCTGTAACCATGGTTAGCGTTGGTGAGACAGCGGTATTAATGGGCTTTAGTTGAAACAAAGGGACGTACGCCAGTTAAAGTTGCAAGTAAAAAAATCTTTTTTTTTTTCATTGCACAAAAGAAATCGACGTTTTGCCTCCTACTCTTGAGTTTTTTAAGGCTTTTCTTTCTGCCGTGCGCAAATAAAATACCGTTAAGGCAAACTCTCGATCGGCAGCACACTTGCTAAAGTTAGCAGCTATCTCCTAGATGAGCCAGAATTATTCAAAAAGCTGCTTATAATAATTGATCTCCATCAACTTAGGCGTATTGACCTCTAAGTCGACGACGCGGGAAATTTCAAATTCGATGCGGTGTTCGTTCGCCACGCTATGCAAAAAATCTGGAACTTGAGGACGTCGTTTTTATGTGGCGGCAGTCTCTCGAAAAAGTTTTCTTTACCCTCCCCCCCCCCCCCCCCCCCCCCCCCCCCCCCCCCCCCCGGACGAAGCGCCACAATGAACACGTGGTATGGAGGAAACCGGCCATGCACTTTCCGTTTGGGCAGCCTGTCTTCTGGGTACAGAAGGGCTAGGTACCAGCAATCTACGTGCAACGATTCACTTTCAGGAAAAGCAAGTCCGTACAGTTCCTCTTGGCGGATTCCACGGCTTTCTTCTAAGCCTTGCGTGGCGATGGCCCGACCTTCCCCACAAGAAGTCGGCGCACAAAGAAACCCATTCAACCAGCGCATTCTTTGTCCATGCCTGGCAGGCCGGCAGCTGTCCGACACTACATCAAAAGAATTCGTCAAAAGAACAAATTTTCACATATAACGAAGTAATTTCGGGCAAAGTGTGACTGTTATAATGGGGTTTGAGTGTAGTGCTAGAAGTATACTTCTGTAACAAATTTTCAGATACAATGAACTTATTTTCTTGTCAGTTACAACTTTGTTATAATGAGGTTCGAGTGCAAGTTGCATGCAGAGTCTTTAGGGGCAGAGCAATGCCAGCATTGGTTCCAGCCCCCAGCCAACAACTCTAGCAAATGCACCTCGAGATTGAAGTCCAAGGTTTTTATCAGTACCAGGTATGAGCCAAAAGTAGTGTATCAGCATAGTAGTGTATGCATAAAAAAAATTTCATTGCCATAGGTCACAGGTTAAAGAAACTTTGTTTTCGAGTAGAATCTTCCCAAAGACACAAGAATCTAGTCTACCGCAATTACCTGGACAGTCATCACAAATAAAACAGTAAACATATGCAACGGGAAAAATTTGTATGATAACCCAGAAGGTTGAGTGATTATATTTGAGTCCCAAGCTCACAATGTGCAGAAAAAAAATAGAACTAACTTTAAAAGCAGTATTTTTTTAAACGATAATACTAGGTGGCATTTTATGTTAGCTAAAGTGTTAGTCAATTAAGAAAATTTTTGTCAACTTTCGTACCATGAATGGGCGTGTTTTCCACTAATGAAAATATGTCAGGAGGAAAGGGGATTACGAAAAAGTAATTGATATTTTTTTTTCAGCAGCCATGCCAATCTGAACTTTGTAAATATAAACATATGCAATCTCATTTCCTGAGCATTTTACCTCACAGAGCAACACCAACTGAACACGGCAGTGGTAGTTTGCAAAGACCCCGCACAAAAAAAAAAAAAAAAAAAATCACTACTGAAGGTCCTGCAGTGTACTTATTTGGTGGCCTATTGGACACATATAAGGCCAATTTTTTTTGATGTACCAAGGCTATAGTAATCACTTTGAAGTTTACAAAAGCTAGAGCTAACTCATAAGGCAAAGCAAGCTGGCCCAATGCAGTATGTACATCTGGGTGCAGATATCTTATCACCCAAAAACACCAGCTCGAAAACTGCAATAAAAGTGTTTAATAATAAATCAAAATATATATAAGACATAACAAAGCTAGAGAAAATGTAGCAATAAAGAATGACAAGTCCATTACAACAGGCAAGACTGTGTAACACCTTTGCCAAACCACGCATAAACAGTCACGCCATTGTGATTACACCCAAGGGATTTCGTACCTGCAATTAAAAATGTCTTGGTATTCTTTTAATACTACACCCATACAAAAACACAAAAAAGTTTGCTGGAAGCTCAGTACAGAAGCTTAGTCATTTTGCAGCAGTTGGTTTTTGCTCTCCTGCTCATGTTACATGTATCCTGGCAGCATGAAAAAAAGGATTCAAACTAACCTAGCATGCCACCAACAAAAGAAACTTGCAGTAGGCATCTCAAACAAAACTGACATACAAGTTTCAATACAAATTTACTCCCTACTAGCCCTGAGAATGAAACCTGCTGCTAGAAAATTATCACTAAACTGCTCTTAAATCACACCTAGTTGTGATACCACACGAAAAATACAGACAATAAAACCAGAGTTTCAGACAGCAGATGCATAGATTCCTGCAAAAACACGAATGCCTCTGCATATGCAGCTCTGGTGCAAAGTATCAGAAGAGTCCATTAGCCTGTCCCCTCAAAAGTGGTTCAACAAGGCAGTTCCACATGATTTTGCCAAAAGTAGCACTCTGTAGCGGCAGTAGTCACAAACGATACGATCAAGGAGTAATAAAGCCATCAAATACACTTCATAAATGTGAACTATGCCATCACAAAACTAGGGGAACAACAGTTCCAGCAGCTCCACAAGAAAACACAAAAAACAAAGTTGGCACAAGTGAGGTCCGTCAAAAGCCACCCCAAAGCATTATCACAGGAAAAGGATATCGGAGAAAATAGACCAATACAACCCTTTTTAAGTATCTGCATCAACAACCTACCCCTTAAATATATATATATATATTATATATTTTATATACATACATGTATATAAAAGCAACTCTCCATATTCGCCAAGTCGAAGGTGACTCATTTGGGGGAAAAAGAATAAACAAATATACTTGGTGTACGCTTTTAAAGTATTAAAAATGTCTAAGAAATGTTCCAATTATGACTAAAAATCAAAAAGCTTAGAAAGTAACTGAACCAAGAGTGCCCAAGCCTACAAAAATGAAACACAGCATTTCATTATTTCATTCATACATGCAAAAATAGTGTAGTAAGTGGGTGCACAAGTCAGGACGGCCTCAAATCACAATACGAGTGAATGGAACCAGCGAGTAAGAAATTTTTTTCAGAAGGGTAAAAGCATGCATTTCGAATTCATCAGTTAGAATGCTTGCTTGATACCTATCTTATTGGCAATGACTTTATGAGAGTATCAATAAAAAAACAACAACCTGACTTTATTCATTAAAAGAGGGGGTTATTACACAGTGTAAGGTCTTGTGGATTGTCAATTGAAATGCTACTCCTGAAAGTGCATTGAGATGCATTGTTTTCAGCACAGTAAGGTACACATGCATACACCTTAAAATGCAAGACAAAGTATGCTGCTGTATGTCATTAAGTACTGAGAGACACACCTTCATAAGCTTGTTTCACTCTACTTAGCTGCAAGAAACCTCTTGACACGCTCAATCAAGCCTGTGCCTTTTTTGTGTTTTTGAGCACATCTTGTCAAAATCTGGCTCATTATATATTACACATTAAAAGAGCTAAAGCACTTGCCCAAGTGTCCCCAGCAACTTCTTTCCACACTTGACTAAAAAAACTATTATTCCTAAGTAAAAACTAAATTGGTAATAGATTAAAAACAAGTGTAACATTTAAAACGTGTGCCTAGCTCGATGGGGTGCTACTAAGAGTGCTACAATTCCAATCTACCACTACAAATAAACTCCTCTTTGTTACTCTTAGGTCAGGCACCTTACTTGCACCTAGTTAACGAAACATCCTTATTACATACTTGTGATAGGACCTATCTAGAACTTTTATTTAATGGTATGCTCAATACTAGCAACACGTAAACGACAACAGGATTCAAACCAATCTTAAATTTCAGACCTTCTGCAACCTGCAGTGTACTTCTTAAGCATTCCTGTGTTGTATAAAGAAGAGGCTTTCTCGAATACTGGCATCATGAAGTAGACTTGCAAGAGGCCCTAATTGCTACAATGCTTATCAGAAGCTTGTGGACAAAACAGACTCTAGGAATTTGAAGTGTGCCCAACACAGAAATCTGCCCTCATAGAGACAATGCAAAGGCAGTAGACACGCACGTTAAAGAACCCCAGGTGGTCTAAATTTCCGGAGCCCTCCACTACGGCGTCTCTCATAATCAAATCGTGGTTTTGGGACGTTAAACCCCACAAATCAATCACTTGTGTACTTGCATTCCTAAAGTATTGATATCTTTAGCACAAAACATAGGCAGTGCACTTAGAATGAAACTGACTAAAGTGGACAGTTAATGCCAAATGAACAAACACAGCAAAGCAAGAAATACAACCAAACAAGATTGCATCATATGCAACTGTCCGTCGGAACGATGACGAGTACAATCTGCTACATGATTCTTAGAAACATCCAATGCCAGCTGCCTATTTATAAATGTAGTATGTATGCTTTCAAAGAGGTACAGCTGGAGGTAAGAACATGCTTGACTGGCATTCAGCAAATACAACACTTAGAGTAAAAATGACAAGATTGTGCTATGCCAAGAAAGGAAGACCTGCGTTTCATTCAGGCAGGTAAAGGTATGTCATGACAAAAGTATAAAAGACACGTTTGCTGAAGAGACATGCAACAGATTTGCCCAACAAGGCTGCAGAGCAAAACAACAGTTACGTTAAGTACACGATGTAAAACCTATTCACCTACCTGCAATACAATGTTACTTGCTGCTTGGTACCAGACTGTATCAAGCACCCAGTTTAAGCTAAGAGCACCTCCTACTGGATGAACAGAAAAGCAATGCCACAAAGACAAAAAGTGCACAAGTTGCTGGCACAAGGGCAATGAAAGGTCACATCCACAGCACACAAAACATAAGTGGGGGCTGTGCATTGCCTCATCAATGGCGCCAACAACTATTCAGGCCCGCTTCCCACTTCTAAAGCTAGTGCCATTCTTTTCCTGTTAGTATCTAGTAGACGTGGTAACTTCTGGGATTATTGTAGCATATTTCTTAAATGACATGCACACACACATATTTAGGCTGTGGCGGCACACCAGCTCCGAAACATCCAGAACAGTTGATTATCACAAAAGCCACCAGCAAAAGGCTATCAACTTGAAGTGCTGAGTGGAAGATTAGAGCAAGATGAGAGATTGTTCCAATAACACGGCTGATGTCATGACATGCTTCTGGCACACACACACAGAAACACGATCCATGGTCCCTTGGGGACAAAAGCTTGTACAAGCCACAAAACCGACCCTCTCAAACGAAGTACACCTGCATTCTGGAGGACATTCTGTTCTCTGAAGCTCACGCAAGAAAGGCACAGCACCAGACAATCATTAGGTAGTAAATGTCTGGGTCAAACCACACTGTGCTGTTAAAAAACCAAATTTTTCACCTTCAATAAAAAATTTTTCCATCCTCAATAATTACTGCCAGAAGTGTAACATTTACACTGATTGAAAAGGTGAGCTTGGCTGGAGTACTGTTGTCAGCAAGTCCTCACACATCCAAGGTGGGTCCCTTTGAATTCACAGGCCTCAGCAGCCCCACTTCAGGCCGGCAGCTTGGGCTTTTCACCAATACCACCAGCAAGCTCATAAACCTTCATGCCGACTTCATAGGCAAGCTTGTTGGCTGCGTCCTGAAATACAGGAGAAACCACATAAACCTAAAGATAAGCTTACATGGAAAGACCAGCAATTGAAACAGTAGAAGGTCAACAGCAAAGTAATTTAACTGATTTTTAATAAACAATTCAAAAACTCGTTTAGGAATCCCATTACCTGCAGTTGTCAACAAGTAGCACACTTAAACTCAGTTCCATTTACCCATGCTGCATCCATGTTTATGTCTATTCTGCTACCCACCGTGGTAGCTAAGCAGTAGCACTGCTAAGCTCGAGGATGTGGCTTCCGTTGCTGGCTACAGCAGCCGCATTTTGGTGAAGCAAAGCAAGGTGGGGGGTGGGAGAACTGTGCACTTAGATCTACATGCGCATCAACCCCTTGAAGGATAATAGGACGAATATGTCCCGTTTTTTCCTCTTCAGTAAAACCTTCCTCTGCTGCTGTGCATAGCCATCAGCTCTATGATCTTCAGTAGCGCCATGAGTCGTAAAACACTTAGAAAAACACAAGAATATATATTTCACACATTTACGATAAGTGGTATCCTTGTGTGTATATGATGAGTTTAAATTTGTTTTGTTCAGTAGAAACTTTTTGAAACTGCCATTCCATAGCGTGCGTGCTTCCTTCCTTCTATCTTGAGCGCTCATTATTTCCACATTTGGTAGCGAGTGCGCGTCTGAAAGTAGGAGTGCTGGGAGCGCCGCTAGGAAGGAAGCGACGAGGTCATTAGGGAGGAGGAGGAAACGCGGAATGATCGAACGAAGGACGAAAGGAAGAAAAAGAAAATGAAAAATTACCGCGGCACGCCGCGTGGACTCACCGAGTCGGGGAGGACGGCGGTTGCATGGGCAACGGATAAGCTATTTTGCTAGCATGGTTCCGGCAGCGCGTGGCTCAACGTGCCACGTGTGATCCCGTCCTTATCTACTGCGCTTGACAGTTTCCTGTCAGAGAAAAGCCTCGTCGTTATCGTGCTTGCTATAGATATTGCGTTTCCTACCTTGTCCATAGATTTAAAACTCTTTACGGCGTTATGACGCCAGCTTTCGCCTTTGCTGCCAGTGCACGGTCTTGCGTAAGCTTGGTGATCTCCTGACTGCGAACCATGACACACGCTGTTCTAAGTTCAGTGCTTGAATGACGTCTTTTCGACACCGAATCTACGTCTTAGACAAACATCCTGCGACAACGTATTGAACGACAGGCTAGGTTAATTGGGGTTGGTTGTGTTTCAGTAGCGGTCCCATACAATCTAAGTCGTGGTTTGATGTAGAAACAATTAAACTCTTTGCGGTGGCTGCACTTGACGGGGAGGGAACATATCGTTAATGAAAATGAGGGTGGCACGTGTAGTGCTCGAATAGTCGTTCGCGATCCAATTGTGAAGTCTTCAAATCAGAAGCTGAATCAGAAGTTGAAATCGGAATTGTGACATCATGAAATCAAACAGGTGACGTCTTTTACAGCATAAAATCTAAGACGTGATTCGATATTCTGTGTAATGTGCACAATCTAGGCGGTCGGAGAAGCAATGGGCGAATTTCCACGATAGTAATTTCTCTTTAAACCCCCAACCCCCCTCCCTTTTTTGTGTTCATTTTGTTGGCAACGCGTGTGTTTTGGCCGTTAATTTTTTTTAACAATCGGAAATTTAAAAGGTTGTAAGCACTTATATCGCATGATTCAATTTTTGTATATGCAAGGCTGCTTGTTCATCCCATTTTGAGCAATTGGGGCCCTTAAAAAACGGTGTTGGTTATAGTGCGGTACTGCTTATACTGCGGATATTCGCGACTCCCGCAACTTACATTATAAGCATTCTATGCTGTACATCAGACAATAACCGAGTCGAAGTGAACTTGAACAAAAAATGAAGCAATTTCTTGCTCAGTCTAACCACATAATAGGCATGCATAAATGTCTGTGTCAAGCTTGATGGACATTATTACGTCCCAAGAAACCATTTATGATAGGGGAGGCCCCGAAATTCCCTTTCGGAAACTCCCTTTTGTCCTTTTTTTGCCACGACGGTAGCAGTAGCAATGAGACCAAAATCTGTGCCTAAGACATTGTTCCTGAATCTGAGGGCAAAAAAAAAAAAGAACAATAACATCGATGCTTTAGGAGTTAAGGGAGCAAGAGAACAGAAATATAAAAGACCTAAGAGAGAAGCTAACACCTCAGACGCTGATGAAGTTCATGAATCCACTTAGAGGAGTCAGCAAATTCGATAATATTACAGCGATGTGGCTTGCCTTGTTTCATAGCCGCATTTTTATATTCAGTCGAACCCCCCTTTCCAAGAGTGCCTGATGTAAAATACCAATGGGTATAGAAGACACCACTGGGCCTAAATTTGAATAAGAAGTGATAAGAAAACGCTTCGTGGTACCTTGGCTATAAAAGTCACCTCATATAGAAGACAAAAGTTCCGCCCCAGTGCATGCCTCTTATATAGGGGTTAAAATGCATGGGTGAAAATTTACGCATAACTGAAGTGTTCATTCTTATTTACAATGACACAAGGAACAGAAAGGAGCTAAGGTTTATATATGCAACGAGGTCAAACAAAACCAATGGCACAGCACAACAGTTGCAGGCACAGATTGTGCACCGCAGATGGAAACAAGTTGTACAAGAAAAAAAATATATATATATATATATTGTGTTTTTCACGCACCCCTCTGAGCCACTTGCTCTTGCTTCAAGCCTTTTCATGCGAGAAATTTGGCAAAAGGATTACAGCTTGGTGCTTTCATGGGAGACAATGGGACAAGTGCTGTCTCACCTTTTCAAAGACACGCCATGGGTCGATGGGACACAAACGTTCCAAATTTTTTTCTCATAAACTAATAGACATATTTTGGGAAAATTGCTTCAAACAATTTCTAAGCACGTTATTTAGATATTCTGCAGGCATGTTTTCTGCGATGTGAAAAATACAAGGGAACCTAGAAAGCATTATGAGGCTGTGTGGTCTAAATTAGAAGTCCACCACTGTGGCTCACAATTATATTGTTCTCAGGCACATGTTACCCCAGACATTATTACAATTACTACACCTAAGAAGTGCTTAATACCTAACTCACATTTCTGTAAATGGTTGACTACCTAAGTGACCCGTGAACACTGAGCTGCTGCTACTCCACACACGCAGAAGACAAATCACATTTTGCGTTATGAATTTATGCGACTGAAACCTAGAGAATAAGTAGGGCATGCAGCCACAACCAATAGTGAAACAAAGGAGAACACACCTTTGCTCATTTCCCCACTATTTTATGCACTACCATTAAACAACTACAAAAGCAAGAATCTCAAAAGAATCACCTGAGCTGTTTTCTACATCATAAGTTAGTCTGTGGAGCCATTTTTTTTTATGCGTATATACCAACTAGCCCAAGCATCGCACCAACTTCATGTGAGTATATACCTTTTGATTTCAAGACAGCAGCAGATTGCCAGTCTTTGGTTGTAAGTGCCTGCAACATACAATTCCGCTCATCCTTATTCTTAGGTTATTCCCTTTTCTTAGTAGGCCTTCAATATTTCTTTTCTTATTAGTAATTGACCTAAGCGCACATATTCTTGTACAGATTCTCAGTGTTGGTTTCCAATTGTGAACTCTTTCTCCGAGCTATTGGGCCTTATCTCTGCCTTTGTGCTCAGTCATACTTTGTACTTTCTTGCCATCGTTGCTAAAGCACTGTGCCATCTGCGAATGTTAGATTAACGAGATATTCTCTGTTAATTTTTATTTCTCTTTCAAACGAGTACAGCTGTTTAAGTACTTTAAGCAAGCAACAAACAACATTGACGAGATCGCACCTTTCTGTCTAGCCCCATTTTTATTTATCGTAATGTCAGTGCTCTTTTCGTAACAAAGTAAGGTAGCTGTAGAGTGAGTAAATGTGCCTACGGTATTCATATACAGGGTGTTTCAAGAAATGTGTTCAATATACTTCAAAAATCACAGAATGGAGGTATCTGCATGCTACTTGTGGTGTTCTCTTTCCGGTGGCAGAAAGCATCTTCAGATGCGTACAAACATTAATTACAGCAGCAATTAAAGAAATCATACAATTAACTTTCTAACAAGTGGTGATAGCCAGTCCAGTCCGATGGGCGAATTCAAGCCCTTCCTACGAATAGTCAATAGCCATTTTGAAATTTAAAAAAAGCGGCCACTGGCAATAACTGCAGAGTGATGCAATGAGCCTAATTTAGCTGGCGAAACAGAAACCGACGCACCAAACAGCGCATCTGCCATTCACTTCGACAACACACTCAGTGACGACACTGTTTTCCTCGGCGTTATCAACCGTCGATTTTGACACTTTGTTTTGAAGCCGCTTATCAACGCTTCCTTATTCTTCCTTCCCCAAAGTTGAGTGCTTCTTTTATCATGCTTCATAAATATATTGTGTGTCATGGGAAGTAAGTTGACAGACCTATAAAATTCCTCAAGTCTTTTTTTCCAGCTAGTTGGAACTTTTGTGCATTGAAATACTGAGTGCAAAGTGTCCCAAGGTTTCCCACATAAAGTACCCTCTATGCTTAATTAAATCGGCTGTTATTCGATCATCTCTGGCTGCTTTTCTATGGGGCATATTTTGTATGGCATTTCCAACCTCATCTGTAACTAGATATGAAACATTTGGGCTGCTTGGTTTTGTCTCCACTCAATGATAGTTGACTTTTCTGCTAACTGTACAGTTCAGAGGACAATTCCTCTGCCCCCCCCCCCCCCTGGTTATGTCATCGAAATTGTTGATAATACAGCCCTGCCTATCCTTTAGAGCATGCACTTTGATACTTCGTAGAGAAACAGACTTTCCTTTCAGCATTTTTGATGCAAGTGCCTTTTGTTATTATAGACTCTATCTTTTTGACCACGCAGTTCCTTATATCACAAGACAATCTTTTTGTTAGTCAGCTTTGTTAGCTCTGTGAGTTCTATCTTGTGTAAGTTGGTTTCATGCAGTGTGATTCCCTGAAGCCTTTCAGAGTTAGCTTAGGAGAGTTCTTTGGGGAGTGCTTGAAGTTTGCTTTGGAGAGTTCTTGGGAGAGTTTGCTCCAACTTTGATTGCTGCTTCAGCGATCAGTCTAGTTACTATTTCGTTGATTCCTTATGTGCCAATATTTTCCCCATGTTTTCAAGCATCATATTTGTTCTAAATCGCAATCCTAAATTCTTTTTGTTTTATTTTATTTCAACTATGTCTAGGTTGACCTGTTTCTTAGTGGTCAGTTTTTTTTTTTTTTTTTTTTCAGATGAAGGGCAACAGCTCTACCAATTACCTTTCCAGTGAGATGAAAATTTTTCAACCCCCCCCCCCAAAACAATTAAAATAAAAGCGAAAACACTAAGCGATGCACTAGTGAGCTCGCTGTGATGTCACAAATTCTGAGTACTCAGTTTTTATTAACAATAATAGACTGCATACCCTACATTTCTATTGCATCAACATTAGCATATACTCATTTATAAAGATGAAATATTATAAATCAACCAACCACTGAACTTGGGAAGTTTCAATGTGTTTTTAGAGAACCGAAATAACCCTCTATGCCCTTGAACATTTTTCTGTAAACAAGGAGATTGATGCACCAACACTGGACATTGAACAAAAATCACTGTATAATTCAATCCAGTTTAGCATTTTCTCTTGTACAGAAACAAGCAAAAATATTTGCTTATATAAACTTTAATACAAGTACCTGAATGTGTCACAGCGAAGCGATCCCTAAGCACGAGTCAGTTAAAAAAAAGCCAGTTACTGAAGTGACAGAAGTGTCACCGAAGGGACCCCTAAGCCAGTTAAAAGAAAAGACAACTCACCTGAGTGCTAGCCTCAGCATAAACACGGATAATATCCTCAGTTCCAGATGGCCTGGAGAAAGATTTCAGGCACTTAAAGATTTCCGAGCAAATGCCAAGGCAGAATGGATTTTGATACACAATATTTTTAACATATGCGATGACTCAATTACCCTTTCTGACCCAAACTTTCTTTTTGGCATGACAAGTGAGCCCTTTCGATAGATAATACAGAAATATACTCAAAGCTGCGAGATGCAACATTTAAAACTAGGGGTATGTGAAAATTCATAAATTAAAATATGAGATTAAAATAGGTTCACATTGTAAGGGGAAATAAGTATCACCTCGATTTCAAGCTGTTCCCACATTAAAGACACCTTTGTCAGCGCATAATATATGCAACACACTTGTCTGTCTGCAAAAACAAGCCTGGTAAAGGGACGCCTAAACGAAATGAATCTTTTAAATAGTAAAAGAGAAACTTGAAAAGTCTAACGCTGTAGAACAAAGGAATACACACACACAAAAAAAAGGGGAGAACGGTGTTTAGTACATAACATATCTCACCTGACAAAAGCCCTTCCATTTTGGTAGCTCTGAACTAATTGGTCTATTGCAGGTTGTAAGTCACTTGGAGAGAGGCACCGGCGCTCTGCATTGGTAGTTGTAATTACGTTCCGATTCGATACCTGTATAAAAATGACATCGGTCTTTTAGTACAAAGATAGATATCGCATGAAGCAAAGTATAGGCACAGTAACTTACATGGATTTTCAGTTGCCTGTTGGAAGTTCCGCGTAAAAGGAGTTCCACTCAGGAGCACAAATGCCTTTGGCATGAAGCACTGTCTCCACTAGTAGCATGTCTGAGATGGCATCACCTACAGTCTGCATAAATAATTTCACTTACTTGAGTCCATGGTAAAAAAATTGATATATTCAGTTTAAATAATGTGAAGCAAGGTGTGGGAGAGGGCAAGCTGTTACCAGCAGAACTTCCAGCCAAACGGCTACAGAACTCACCAGCTAACTGCTATCGTTGGTGCATGATGTTTCCAAACGTGCTGCGGAAAGTGAAGGTTAGTGCACGTCCTCGTCGTTCCATTTGTCCGCTGTCTACTTTTACTTTTTGGACTTCACTGACAAGAAATTGTGTTTGCACAGCGCTGTACCTCACAATTGCGAGCTAGTGATTAGCGGGGCCATGACACTGTTACCAACCAACTGCGGTTCTAAGCGAAAAATACAAGTACAGGGTCGTGTGTACCCATGTGTGTGTGTGTGTGTGTGTGTGTGTGTGTGTGTGTGTGTGCGCGCGCGTGCGTGTGTGTATATATATATATATGAGATCTATCAGACAATAATGCCAAGGAAAGTATAGGGAAAGCTATTAGATCGAATTGTAATGTCAATGTGAGGAAAGAAAAGTGGGTGAAAAGATAACTTGCCGTGGGCAGGAACCGAACCTGCGACCTTCAAATAACGCGTTGGATGCTCTACCACTGAGCTACCACAGCAGCTGTCCCCCCATCCACTTTATTGGGCATCTATGTGAACTTTTTTACAAACATGGGAGTGTCAGTCAGCGCCACCAGTAGCCATGGTATCGAGTGTGGCACACTCTTTATGAGCCTGTTTGGTGTCGCATATTGGGTATCTATGTGAATTTTTTTTAAAAACGTGGGAGTGTCAATCAGCGCCACCAGTATCCATGATGTCGAGTGTGACCCACTCTTTATGAGCCTGTTTGGTGTCACGTAATGGGCATCTATGTGAATTTTTTTTTAAACGTGGGAGTGTCAGTCAGCGCCACCAGTAGCCATGGTGTCGAGTGTGGCACTCTCTTTATGAGCCTGTTTGGTGTCACATATTGGGCATCTATGTGAATTTTTTTATAAACGTGAGAGTGTCAATCAGCGCCATCAGTAGCTATGGTGTCGAGTGTGGCACACTCTTTATGAGCCTGTTTGGGGTCACGTATTGGACATATATGTGAATTTTTTTTTAAACGTGGGAGTGTCAGATAGCGCCACCAGTAGCCATGACGGGCGAGTGTGGCACACTCATTATGAGGCTGTTTGGCATCGCGTAGCACGTGAACTTATTACGAGCTGGCAGCTGACCAATAGTCCCTCGTATACAACCTAACAGCACCAAGTCTGCAAGTACGAGACCATCGTTAATGAATAAGGGAAAGAAGTATATATTAGGGGCTCATTTTTTCCGTGTATGACACAATGTTAGCGAGATCTAACAGACAATAATGCCTAGGAAAGTATAGGGAAAGTTGTTAGAACGAATTGTGATGTAAATGTGAAGAAAGAAAAGTGGGTGAAAAGATAACTTGCCATTGGCAGGAACCGAACCTGCAACCTTCAATAACGCGTTCGATGCTGTACCACTGAGCTACCACGGCTGTTATCCACCCAGTCAATTAATTGGGAGTATATTTGAATTAAAGTAGAAACGTCAGTCAGTGCCAGCCGTAGCCATGGCGTCGAGTGTGGTACACTGTTTATGAAGCTGTTTGGCATTACGCAACACGTGAACTCATTACGAGTGGGAAGCTGACCAATAGTCCCTCGTATATAACCTAAATGCACCAAGTGTGCCAGTACGAGACCCTCGTTAATGAATAGGGAAAGAAGTGTATACTTAAGAGATAGTTTTTTTCTTGTTTGACACAATATTATTGAGATCTAACAGACAATGATGCCCAAGGAAAGTATAGAGGAAGTTGTTAGACCGAATTGTAATGTAAATGTGAAGATGAGAAATAGACTGCAATATAATATTTCATTGCAAAATGAACCCCAGAAATCGCCGGCTATAGACCTTGTACACTGCCAGTGACCGCCATTTTGCCATGGCATGTGTGACATCATGTGCTTCATGGAATGGAGCAGTTATCTTCTATCCAAGTTTCAGCGGCTGCATGTCGTTCAATTTTTTAAGCTGAACTGAAGAATGCTGTAATAGCTCCATTGTACACTCCATTGACCACGAAACAAAATCGTTGTTCAATTGGTACAGACGCTTGCAAAGCAAGCAGCTTGTTACGTCCCGGCTCATGAGAGCACCATTATTGTCAGGCAGACTCTCAGGCCGCTCATGTGTTTATAAAAATGCTCATTATAAAGTAAGTTCTCAACCAAGTGGACTGAAATTTTGCCAGGTCTGTAAACACCCAAGGAATAACTCCTTTAACAAAGATTATGAGCGAAAGTTGGGTGTCATGGGCTAATGATCCCTTCAAGACTCTGCACATGTGGCGCACAGAACTTTCAATGAAAACTTCAATTTGCAACTACTACTTGAAATACCGTAAAAACTGGAATATAGGTAAAAAAAAAAACTGTGATGAAAAGTCGACTTTCCTTTTGTATACTGGTCATTGGCCGAAAAAAATGTGGAAGTCTTGGAACAATGGGCAGCTGAAGTCAAAAGCCTCCATTGCCATCGTGAACATCAGGAGCAGCGCCGTTGGGCAAGGCTAGGCAAGGCCTACAGTACAGTGTATGAGCAACGCCATTTTACTTCGGTTATCTTTGTCAGTCTGCTGGTTTTCTTTTTTTTCTCCCTCAGAAATGAGTGGTAGTCAACGACAGTTTACGATAGGCTTTAAGCAAAAAGTTATCGAGTATACGGCAACCTGGCGGCACACCAGGAATTCAGTGCATCGGAGAAAAGCGTCCGACACTGGAAGAACCAAAAGCAGCGCATGACATCCTACAGCAACCATAAAAAACCTCATTTCGTGGATAGACTCCAGTGCACCCCTAACTGGAAACGCTACTCGCCGAATTCATCCGGAAGCTGCGTGAAGCTATCTGTGACAGTGGAGTGCATCTACGTGAATCGAAATAGCGTGCGACTTTGGGCTCTCGAAGGCGCAATTCAAGGGCTCGCCATGTGGGCGCGCCAATTTATGAAGCAGAAGGGCTTTGTGCTGAGGGGGCATACTTCTGTGTGCCCAAAACGGCCAAAATATTTCGATAAGAAACTGGACGAGTATCAGTGCTTCGTCGACAGCATTGCTACATGATGGGACACATGGGCCATGCTGATAAAAATCCGATCTGGTTCGATATGAATTTGAACCACACTCTGACCACTAAAGGATCAAAGCAAGTGAAGCTCTTGACAACATGCAACGAGCATTCGCGATTTACAAAGATGCTTGGATGCACAGCACATCGATGGAAAGAAGCCGCCCCCTTATATCATTTTTAAGAGAAAAGGGCTACCAAAAAAAGCCTTTCCCCGGGAGTTATCATGAGAGGGAATGAAAAAAGTTTCATGAATAAATCCCTCATGCTTGAGTGAATTCGGCTCATATGAAATCAGCGACCCAGTGCACTTTTTCAGTGACAGAGCATGTTGGTGCTCGACTCATTTCGAGGCCACCTTATGGCCAATATAAAGGGAACTCTGTACGATGGCGAGACGAATCTTGTCGCGATCCCTGGGGGACTAACATAAATCCTCCAGCCACTGAACGTAGCACTCAATAAACCCTTCAAAGATCGCGTGCGTGAGCTTTACAATGAGTGGATGCTGGGCGACAATCCCAAGACCTTCACTGGCCGCCTACAACGTCCACCACTCGCAACCGTTCGTGGCTGGGTGTTGTCAGCTTGGAAATCCCTTCCGGAAGAGATGGTGTGCAAGTCTTTCTGCAAATGCTCCCTCAGCAACGCATTAGATCGAACAGAGGACGATGCACTTTGAGGCGTAACTAGTGAAAAACAGACATCGTCGGACTCAAGCTCGGACGAGTCTGAGTGACGGCACTTTGTGGCCTTCTGACATTCAACTACATAAGATTAGTGTCAAAATAAAAAGAAACATCATCACATTGCAGCTAGTTTTGTCAAGTATTTATCAAGGTAAGGGTGCGCCACGGTATTCAGTGGTTTTTAAAAATTTCATTTTCGGAAATTCAAAGTTGGGGAGTAGACCTATATTCTGGTTTTTACGGCATTCTTGCATTTGCTGCCTGTCATGATTGCAAGTCACTTTTTAACAAAATGAGCCCAGAATTTGGCTAGCACTAAATAGGCATATTTTTCATCCACCAAATGAACATTCAAAGTCCTCTTGTGCTTCCTATAAATCCTCCATATCAGAACTTGCATGCATATCTATGACATTTGCTAGATGCAATTTGGTAAACTTGAAAAAAAAAAAAAAAAAACTGCAGCATCATAGACAAAGTGGCACCAGTTGCCCCAGATTAAAAATATTGCTTTTCAGTTAAAGATAAGAAAAAGATATTACTCAACAGGCAAAAGAGAGCAAGTGTATGGTAGGAAATATTTTTTGAGGGGGAGAGGTCCAATTCTTCTATTTATGGGTGTTCCTGTGGTTACGTACACACATGAACACACACACAGATGCATGAAATGTAAAAGTTGGGAGGGGGAGAAGGGTTGAATTCCCCAAACCACATATCCAATGGCTACACCACAGGTAAAGGCACAATAAAAAAAAAACTTACTTGGTTTATGAGGTCTATTGTGTACAAAAGTTTCTTGGCAGCTTGTTGCCTCTCTGCATATTGGCTGAAGTTAAGAAGAAAAAGTTAGGGAAAGCAAATCTTACTACAAAAATACAATAACAATGCTAGGAGTGCAGCATACTTGCTATCATTAGCCAAGTCTTGGATGGCCTGTTGTGCCTTCTCACTAAAGAGGACCTGTTTTTACAGAAGAGCACAGCACAATGGGGTCAACAGCATCCCAACAAAAATAACAGGAAGAACGTGCACTTAAAAAACAGCACAAAAAAACACACACGCATATTTCCTTACAGTGCCATGCCCATTGGCTTCAAAGTAGATTCCGATATCTGCCTTCTGGGCCTCTCGGTGCAAATGCTTTATTCCAGTGGGCACACATTTCACGGGTACCTTCTGCAAAAGAGATTAAGAGCTGTCTGAGCAAAAAGGAACGTACACTGAAACCTCATTATAACGAAGGTGCATCTTAAACGAAAGTAATCGCCATATTCATAATCGGACCTTAACTCTTCGCAATAAGGCTACTTACGAAAGGACGAGAAAAGTATAAAGCCTTAACCGCATGCACGCAATTTCCTAGCGACAGCGACAAACTTGCTCCGTTGCGAGACGCGACGGCTGCAACCGCATGTCGGCGACAGAGTGTGATTGTTGCTTCAATGAAAACTATCCCCTGCGTATACCCACAAATTGCGTATAGAAGTTTAAAAGTTGGTCGATGACAGCATGCCAAATCTATTATTGTCTTGTGTGACATAAGGAAGCCACAAAAGCATTTCGCGGCCTTCTTTTCTTACATTCTTTGGTTTAAAGGGGCACTAAAGTCAACTATTAAGTTGAAGTTGGTTGAAATGGCGGTCTAGAAATCTCGTAGTGTTATACTTTGTGCCAAGGAAGGGCCTATTTTGAAATTAAATCATGTTTTAGTGCTCCGCATTCGAATAGCGCACTTCAAACTACCCGCCTCAAGAAGCGGACCGACCAGACCGACTCACGTCCCTGTTGCCATGAACAATGTTGCCCAGCTTTACTGCGGTAGAAGCAGCAGACTGAAAGCAGCGGGAGCCACAGCAGCAACAACGTCCATTGATCAATTTCCCACCACTGGTTTAGAGATTGCACACGCTTTTCTTTCAGCTGGGCCCCACTAGATGGCACCACCTGTCCCATGTAACCACACGAAAGTTGAATTTTTGAACCACTCGCCCCATTCCCCATAGTAACGTCTGGCAGTTCTTTTTTCCATGAATCAAACAGAAACGAACAAGCAGCATTTTATTGCGTCTCTTGATGCACAAAAGGTTTTTTTATTTAGTGCAGTTAGATCGCTTACTAGTGATTATTTGTAGGCGGTCCGTCTGATGTCATCGGGATCATTGTGAAAATGTCCTACTGTGGCGCTTGCGTTCTTGTGCATTTACCTTGATTTCTCGGTGAGTAGGGCACTGTTGTTGATAATATTGCCGTTTTGGATGTTGTCATTCATTGACCTTTCACTCTGACATAAATTGTTTAGTGTCCATTTAATTACGACAGGCTGCCCAGAAGCGTATGCTACAGCGGCTATGACTTACTTCGCATGACGATTTCGCATTGTAGCAAGCGACTTAATTGTCACAACCTACCATCGAGCCATCAAAACAAACCTACAATGACGACATTTATAACAAAATACAGCCGCCCTCTCACTCTCCGCATGAGATGAGAAAGTAAAAAAGGTAGCCGATACAGTGCATTCCTTGAAGTACACGCGGGTAACAAGCATCAAGAGTAAATGCAACCGAAGCAAGGACCAAGGATGCAGCCATAGTGCCAGAAATCACCACGCTGGCTTCTGGACGACAAGCTATCTTTTCTAGTTTTCCAGAAACGCGTGACGTGACAAATGGGCCTCCGCAACAGCAAATCTTGTCACTCATCACTGTCAAGAAAATCGCGTGCATGCGGTTAGGGCTTAAGTATAATAAAAGTACGAAGAGAGTTTCAGAAACCTTCTTTATCTTGTCAGAAGAGCGCCTTATGAAAGGCATCCTTAACTCATCAAGCATAGGCTCTGGGTGCGAGGGCAGGTAAATTTCTGCTAGAAAATCATTATTTCGAGCAGGAATAAATTAGCTTTACTACAAAAAACCATCAACAGCATACACAAAAACAGCCAAACGCAAACAGCAGAAATGTTTGTTTAGTCACTGGCAGTTTTCGGTGAAATACACGTTTTTTGTCTGGCCACTTTTCTGCGACTCCTATCGTCAGAGGGGTCGTAAAATCACTTTTCTTATTTCGACGTTTTCTATGTTTTTGCTCTGTTTGGTGGTGTTATTGTGCTCCCTTCAGCATTTGCTATTTTCTTTCACTTTTTCTAAATTTCAAGAAGGTTTATGTAACACTTTTTTTTCGAAGATGCATTTCTTGTCGAACAGTGCACTCAAGTGAACATCACAAATGAAGTGAATACGTCCCAATAGATTTTGTCAACAACTACCGAGACGGATGCCGCTTCAAGCGAATGAAAAAGATGGAAGCAACTCGCGATAGAATTCAACAGCCGACAAAATGTGCATCTGCGTACGCCCGACCAAACAACTAAAAAGTGTTTGCACCACTTCAGGAAGTTTTACAGGTATTGGAAAAAGTGTTTTTGCAACAATAGCAGATATTCGCTGGACTGTGTACTCATGACACAGTCGAATACAAGACATTGACAAGGTCATCATTCCCAAGTTGAAACGTGCCAACTCTATTAAAGCGCAATGCGATGAGCAGCTACATGAGACGCGGCACAACAAAACCACGAACGTGAATATTTTCCAGCAGAAATAGCTTGCGAGCAGATTCTTCATTGCACTTTTTGTGAAGCGGGGGCGGCAAAAAAATTCCAGCTTGTCGTGGGTCTTCACCAGGTTCCATCTATCCTTGAGGACTCACCACAGCGGTGACGTGTATGAGTACGCTGTGCCATTCAATATTACTTCTTTGCGGTCCAGATAATGAACGGAATATGCAAAGTTGTCATCGCCTGCCACGTTGTTTAAGGAAGGCTTAAGGTAAGTCATAGGCTACCGTAACGAAGGCTTACATAAGTACGAGAAATGTTCCGCGATAAGTACAAGGTAGGATCTTGAAATGTGTTAAGGGCAGACATAAGGCTAAGGTTGACCTAAGTCGTAAGGATAAGTTAAAGTTAGGTTTGTGAATGTGGCGGTAAGTTCTTTATATCCAAAAATTTGTTATGAAAGTATACTCCTAGCCCCATGTCTATTACACGAGTACTCATCTACTTTGTTATAACCGATATTTCTTTATATCCAGGTTCTTTATATCGAGGCTTGAGTCTATAACAATTTGCAGATTTGTGCTCAGTATTACTCTAACTGCATTACTTAGTAAATGGCATGCAGGGTTCATACAGGTTTCCAAAGCAAAATTCAAGGATATTGAAAAACTTTCCAGGACCTAGCATTTTTCAAGGATTAAAGGCAGCACACAAAGTTTGAAATTTTTATACATACTCTAAAATTTCTAAAAACGACTAATTTTACTGTAGTTACAATAAATAAATGTATGTTACAATTATAACACAAATATCAAGTCTGCACTATAGCTCACTGTAGTTTCACTAGCTTCACCTCTTGTGCAAGAACCAACACTGAATAGTGGTGGGCGTCTCCTGCTTCGTTCCTTCACAGTTTGACACAGTGGAACTTTTCTGAGGTTTTAGAAAACAGAACCATATGCACTTACGTCGAATTATTTCTTTTTGAAATGAGGAGTTTGTCAGGTCAATGCCAATCTACCATGTTAAGGAGGTCACAAGGTCGATTGGTTGTGCAATGCTTAGGAAATAGAAGGGTTTTCAAGGAGGGGCAAAAAAAAATTCAGGACTTTTAAATGCCTTGAAAATACATTTTTCAAATTCAAAGGTTATCAAGGATTTGAAAGTCCTATATGAACCCTGGGCAAGTGAAACCAAGTGAAACATAATCAAGAAATTAAAAATCAAAACAATTCTTATGAAAAATAGCTTGGGAACACGATTTCACAAGAGTCACTTTCCAAAAGTTAGGGTGACAACAAGTTAGAAGCAATCCCGATTTCGCATTAGAACACATTTTCCTAGATAGTGCAGGCTTTCCAAAGTGTGATAATTAGAGACCGGATTATAGACAAATGCCTATTTTGTTCCTTGCATTCCTATCGTGCCATTTTGATATATGAGCATGAATTAGAGGTTAGGAAGGGCTTTCATGGTGTTTTTATAGTGCCTATAAATGTCTATTTTGGGCGTTCATGCCTAAATGCCTATAAGTGCCTATACATGACTATTTTCCAAATGAGCGCCTATATGAGCGCAGTTCAAGCCCAAATTTTGTTTTAGAGCGTGGTGTGAGACCATTATTCACGTAAAAAACGCTACATTGATATTTCCAAACACAATGAAGGCAAAGCTGACATGCTGTGAGCGATTGGAGGAGGAGCATGAGGAGTGCAAAAGACGCTATTTCTGCAGCCCTAAGTGGAAGCACGTCTCAGCATCTGCAGGGGAAGGAGGAAAAAAAAATTGAAGTTGGGGTAAGAAAATAAAAGTGACGTCTAAGGCCGAGGACACGGCGACTGCCTTCCACAGACAGCTATCCAGTGCCCTGAAGGAACTGAGGAAACGCCCTGAAAACCTGGGTGATGCGGTGGGAAAGGAACAGCAGGTTTTTCTGGGCAGCCGCGGGAAGCTGGAAAACGAATGAAAAACCATGGAGGGCCACTCAAAGAATGCTCTTGTTGATTCAGTGGTGGGGAAGGTTGCCAAATTGTAATACTTTATACAGCGAAGGCTGAGAAAGGCGCCGGCATGTTTACAATCAACGGTGTATTTAGCATGTATACATTAACCGTATGCTTGAATACACTTGTTCTGTATGAGATCCCTTGTCATATCACTAAGTGACAATCATGCAAAAATACAAAACAGGGCTTTAAGATTTGTTTTAAGCCATTACTCAAAAATGACAGCTGTAACAACATGAAAAATGAACTAGAATAGGAATTACTATCATCACGTCGAATTCAACTGCAGGTAAAGCTCCTACGTGAAGCATTTCATGGTAAAACTCGCATTTGAAAATTAATATACATAAACAGTCCTCTTCGCACAATGGTATAGTTAAGATTTTAGAATGTCGTATCAAAGATAATTTTTTTATTCATTCGTTTTTTGTTAATTTCATGACAAAATGAAATGGCTTATAAAAAAAAGTGTGTTGCGTCAATGAAGGTGTGTTTTCTTCAACATTGTAACCCTTCTGCTGCAGCGCCTTCGGGTAAAAATTGTGATGTGCACGCGGCTTTTGTTTTGTTTGTAATTTACTTTTTAAGCGTCCCTCTCAAGGCTCTAAGTGACA